GACCTAAAAACTCCGCAATTAACACAAAAAGGCCAGGAGAAACCGGGTCACCCTGCCGAACACCCCTCGTGGACTTAAAAAATCCAGACGGCTCCCCATTCACCAAAACAGAAAACCAATTATTAGACACCAGGCGAAAGATAATGTCTACCACATGTTCAGCAAACCCAAACTTCCGAAGCATAAACAAAAGAAAAGGCCACTCGACCCTGTCATACGCCTTTTCCATATCCAATTTTAGCATAAGATTCGGGTGTCTCAGCCGCCTATCCAGGTCTACCACCAGCTCCTGTGTAAGAAGAATATTGTCCGTTATCCCCCGACCTAGCACAAAACCTGTCTGCCACGGTGATATTAAGGCAGGGAGAACCGTACCCAACCGATCCGAGACGAGCTTGGAAATAATTTTCGAGCAGACATTGCAAAGACTTATTGGCCGGAAATCCTTCCATTGCCAAGCCCCCGCCACCTTAGGCAATAAAATGATGGAAGTGCTAGTAAAACTCCTAGGCACCGCATGCCCTGGAAAAAAGCCTGTACCGCCTCCAATAAATCAGACTTAATAATATCCCAGCAAACCTGGTAGAAACCTGCCCCAAACCCATCCGGTCCCGGAGCACTATCTGCATCCAATGCAAAAACCACCCCCTTTAGTTCTGCCATTTCAGGTAGGGCACCTAACATGTCATTATCTGCCGACGTTAATTGAGGGAGCGAAAACGGAAGTCCTGGAGGGTGGAAGCCGTGTTGGTCAGCTGCGAACAAAGAGGAGAAGAACCCCACTGCTGACCGCCTAATATCATGTATATCCTCCAGCCATGCTCCAGATTGCTCTTTAATACGGGCCACAAAATTATAACTTCGGCGCTGGCGGCAGCGAGAATGGAAGTATGCCGAATTAGCATCCCCAACCTGCAACCATTTGATGCCCGCCTTCTGTCTCCAGTACTCACATTCCAACGCCAAGCTCCTTGCATATGCCGACTTTGCCTCCTCCAGCTCTGCTCTGGAAACTGAATCCCTCTCCTTGTCAAACTGTTCTTCCTTTTGTTTCATAACAGCCTCAGCCTCTTTCACTTTGTTAACAACATTACCAAATACCTGTACATTTCACGCTTGAAGACAGCATTTTACCGCCCGCAATTTATTATGGAATTTCGGCATACCCACCCCCTCCACGGACATCGCCTAACCCTGGCGGACCACCTCCATAAAACCTGAATGCCGCTGCCATACATTTAAAAATTTAAAAGAACTTTTCCCTTGTCTCCCATTGTTGGCAGTAATCAAAAGCGGAGCATGATCCGATCGCCCTCTGGACAAATGCGACACATGGGATAAATCGTACCCCTCAGCCCAGTCCCGATTCATTAAAGCCCTATCCAATCTCTGCCACACCCTACCATTCGTCCATGTAAATAGCGACCCATCAAAAGGGACCTCCGCTAACCCACAGGTGGCAATGGTGGCATTAAATTCTTCAATGTTCCATGCATTGGCTGGAGAACCTCCCGCTCGTTCCTCCACAGTGGTAATGACATTGAAATCCCCTGCCAGTAACCAAGGCCCCCGAACGGAGCCCGCCAATTCCTCCATTGCCGCCCACAGGTCGCGTCGCCCCACCCTTGAACACCGTGCATATACAGCCGAAAGCTGAATCGAGCACGCGGTAGGAAAAGAAATGCGCATATGAAGGAGCTGCTCGGCCATCTCCCTGAAGCACAATGACACCTCATTGCACCAAAAAACCCATACCTTATTATTCAATGCTGCCGATGCTCTATCGAAACCTAGAAACCGGCGAACCACCTCAAGCTGCGGTGTATCCGACAATGGTTCTAGAAGAACCAGAATCCGTATTTTATTAGCTTTGCAAATCTTATGTAGATATCTTTGTGAGTCCTTGCGAGAGGCCCCACGTATGTTCCAAACAACAATCTTAACGGGATTTAACATGAGACCGCAACGAGTAAGGATTTTGAGAACAGATATGAACCTGATTGGAAGCTGTTTTAGCCGACCGACCTCCCTTGTGCCTAACCCCAAGCTGACCTTTACCCGCAGCTTCTTGCTGCTCCAACTGTGCCGTAACACCCTTCACACCATCCAGCGTCCCTCCCGTTGCCAATTGTTCAGGCGACAACCGTTGATGCAACCCCCTATGAAACTCTTTTAGATGAGCCCATTGTGCCACTTCACCCGGTAAATCCCCGTCCGAGTATTGTCTTCTGTGTTTCAGCCTAGTTGTTGGAGCATGAGACTCAGACCGGGACGGGGTGCGCTCAAAATCCTGGAACTCCGTATCTGCAAGTGCCTGCAAAACAGCAAAGGTATTGGAGGATGGCGCACACCTTGCATCCTGCCCGCATACCGCCCTTTCGCAATCATCAGTCCGCGGAGCAAACAGATGGGAAGAATCAACATCCATCGCATTCATATCCCTCGAATCTGAAGCGGCTACCCCCGCAAGCCCATCCACAGCAACCGAGACTCCACCAGACTCCACACCACCACGGATTTCCTCCAATATTGACTGATCACCAGCGGCCGCCTCCATACTGTCCAACCCCGGGGCATGTTGCAGAAGCTCCTCCGCGTGATTATGCGCCGCCTGACCCAGAGCAGCCTTAGGTACCTCCAGTTCAGAATGGGTACTCACCCCAGGTTCCATAACCTGTGTACCCGGGCGTGCCTGCTCAGACCCAGTCTGACCAGTGGTTACCTTAGGTCTGTAAACCGCCATTGCCTTCTCAACCTTCCTGCCTAGAGATTTGGTAGGAATAAGATCTAGGTTCTTCCTAAAACATTCCCCAACTTCATGACCAAACCGCGTGCAAAACCCACAAAATTTCGGCCAGCTCTCATAATCCACCGACTGCCAGAAACCCTCCTGATCCTCTCCAATCCAAATACGGTGTGGAGGAGACACCGAAACATCCATCTCAACGAGCACCCTCGCCACGGACAGGCGCTTAAGCGCTAGTGTCGCAGAGTCAATCTTTAGATATCTTCCCAGCAAACCCGCCAGTTTGGCAATGTATACCTTGTTAAACAAAGGCAAAGGAAGCGACGACAAGGATACCCACACAGGGGCGAACGTAGAATCCTGATGAGCTTTGAAGTCCATCGTCCACTTTGATACCAGCATCTGCGCACCCTTTACGACCCATGAACGACGCAAGAAAAGTCTTGTAAAGTCCTCCTCAGACGACGGCCTGATGAGGACGTGATTAAGATCGAGAAGGCCAACATCACACTCCCCCTTCAGACCTAGCGATACAAAAAAATGCCTAATGACTTCCATAGGCGGGCGGCGGAACGGAAACCTGCCAACTAACGCATTCTGAAACGGTGTAGAGAGCAGCTGCAACTCCTTCTGGGATAGCTGTAAAGCAGGTTCCCCTCTATGAGTTGAGGAACGCCCCAGATCCGGAATATTCGACTCCAGTCGGCCGGGGCCAGAGAGCACGTCTGCGAAAGACCTGGAAGAGGCCGCGGCACCCCCTGCAGCCGGCGGCGGCCACGAAGGACCCTCCATACATCCGGAACAAAACCCTAGCGAAAGTTACCAAAAAAGGAAACCAGACTAGAGAGAATAACGCCTACACACTTACGAGTTTTTTTATAAACAGGCGTTTGTAACCTTGTTTTTCCCTTAATAATATTTGTTTTGGATTAAAAAAAATGATTTGACTCATTAAACCTACCGAATTTGGTATTTGAAAATTAAAATTTTTTCTTAGCCTGATGAAAATCAGTAGATCTCTAGCCTCGAAACGTACTTATGTTTGAGATTGTAAAGCTACCGATTTTTGTACCCCAAAAAAAAAAGGCTACCGACTTGAGCCCTGAATCACTAATCTATGAACAGATGCTTGAGGATTTGAAGAAAAGTTTTGTTTGAACAAAATGGGTAATTTCCATTTTAGAATGAGGATTTCTCTTCCCAACTTAATATTGAGCCTATTTTAGTAGTGACTTAGCTCGACCAAGCTCAAGCAACTTGAAAACACTCCAACCAAGCATGTTCCAAGAAATTCGATCCTGGGCTCGTCCAAGATAATAATATATACACATTTATTTTGTTTACCATATTCACAATGGGGAAATGACAATTAAATTCATTTTTCTAAAACTTTATAAGAGTAGATATTATCTCTCTTTATTCGAGCACAATTGCACTCCTACTCTTTTTTTTTCTTTATTTGTAGTTAGGATTGAAAGATTAACCAAATTATTTAATATTCGAATCGAGTTCGATTTGATAAAAATTTGTTCGAGTTTGGTTTGCCAACTAATCAAACTAAACTTGAACAGTATTTTATATTCGATAGCTTTCAAACTCGATAAAATACTTGTTTAAACTCAATTTGATGAATAAACAAACCAAACTTGAATAAAATTTCAAACTTATTAAAATAATCAAACAAGTTTGAACAATATAGTGTTCAACTTGATTAATTTCACTTACACCTCTATTTGTGATATGCTAGGTGGGGTTTGAACTCCACTGACCTAGTATTGGACCAAGTTCCAACGATTGGTTAGGCTCCTACTCTCTTTTTTTTCTACCGCAACGATAACATTCGTACATCCTAATCTATTATATTCTACAGGGAGGGAAAGGCTAAAGAGACTATATAAGGGGTTAGGATGTGTACAAATTTGACTAGACTAGATGAATGTTCCGTGACCTTATTTGAATTTGTTTCGCTACAGGTCGAGTTAGGCTCCTGCTCAAGTTCTAAGAAAAGCTATAAGGTAGGGGCACGAAATTCAAGTCAATATCTACTCGATCAAAGCGGGCCAAAGCTCCATTGACTTGGCTTGTTTGCAACGTTGCAGAGTTACACCGGCGTTGACTTGTGGAGTCCTCTCCGGCCTCCGTCTCCGCTCCATCACTTTGATACACAACTGGAATAGGGGAATTATAAATTCATGCTGCCTTCCATTTTCATTACAATTAACACTTTCCTCCATTAGTTCTCCATACTGAAATCATGCACGGTCATTTCATTCTTATTGTCTTGTGGGCTGTTGTGGTATCAATGATACATGATGGAACACAACTTTGTTCAGGTTGCTTTCTAGAAGAAAAACTTGCTCTCTTAGACTTCAAAGCTTCCTTGAATATGACAGAACATGCTCATCTTGTCCTTCCCTCATGGATTGGAAAAGAAGGTGATGGAGCAAACACTGATTGCTGCAACTGGGAACGGGTCAAGTGCAGTAATATTACTGGGAGAATTGTTGAGCTCCAACTTAGTAAATTGAGAAAACATGGGGAATCCTATGATTCTTATTATCAGGATTGGTATCTAAATATTAGCACCTTCATACCCCTGAAGGACCTCCGAGCTCTAGACTTGAGTTGGAATGACTTCAATAGTGAAGTGACAAGTACAGTATATGATACCATCTTTCTTCAAATAATTGGTTTGCTTGAATATTGTTGTCGATCGTTTTTGTTGTATACTTTTGTTTCTTGTTCTTGCTTTCTTTATACTTGCACTTTTAGTTAGCATTCTCAACATCGCAAAGAGTTTGGCATAGTTGGGTTTTGAACTTTTGGCACACAATTTAAGAAAAATTTTTGGGGGCAAACACATTTAACTTGGCACGGTACAAATGGTAGATATAGTAAGTGAAGTTAGTGATGTATTGCTTGAAAATCAATTTTGAAATTTACAATAGATAAAAATGCATATATCAAATTTTACATCTACCCAATTGAATTTAAATGGTGGCAAGTTCCTAAATTTCATATGAATTTTCGATATATTGACCATTAAATTAATATCACGTTTAATGGGCACTTCAACATTAATTTTGTGAATTTTGCAATAGTTATTTTAACAATTAGTAGTTGTCGTTAGCTGTTAATTCTGAAAATATGTCTCTGTTTTTAAGAAGCGCCTATTAATTGAAGAGATACCTGTTCACTAGGTGTCTATTAATTGAAGTGCCTATTACTGTACTTAATTCAAAGACATGCAAACTTATTAATAGGAGGGACTAGGCATTGGTTTACTCACTTTTTATTTTTCTTCTCTTCTTAATTAAGTCAAAATATTCTAAAATCGTTCACTTTTTATTTTTTTTCTCTTCTTAATTAAATCAAAATATTCTAAAATCATTCGAGGGAAACTTGTCATTACATTGGTATCAGAACTTCTAGTTCGGCATTGCTTTTTTTTTTTTTTTTTTTAAAAAAAAAGAAGAAAAGTTTGGCTTTGTTAATCATGGAAAAAGTGTATATTTACGCACCAACAATATGGAGGAAAAATGTCCTTAAAGATAGTTGTCTTCGTATCAAAGCCCAGTTTTTACGTTTTGCCTTTTTGTAAGTTTTTTTTTTTTTAACAGCTAAGGGTTCATGGGGTTTGGAGATGTTAGTTACAAGAATCAAAGTTGAAACAATTGAGATATTAAGATAACGAACGTTTTGACAGGTCATAATCAAGATTAGTGAGGCATATAGGATGGATATCTTCAGTCAATGCAGGACACCAGAGTGTGACAAATTTTACATCCTTTTATTTGGGGCCGAATATCGAAAGCTTCTTATTGTTAAGGGCCCTTTGCTTGATGCTGCAGGCAAGAACAGCTGCAAAGCTCCAATAAGTGTTTCTTTTGCCAGAAATTAGTAGGGAAGAAGAAGAAGCATCCATATGAAATTTAACTTTTGCAATGAAGTCATTTTGGATTTCTATTTGACCCCAAATTTTATGTATATTTTCTTTGTGGCATAGTTTAAAGGTGAATTTGATTACATCATCATTGTTTTATTATTATTATTAAAAACATTGATTACACACTCATTTGACTATAAAATTTAATTAAAAAAAAACCAACAGTTTCACTTTAATATAAAGCCATGCATGTTGAAATGTAGGTTTTCAAATTATGAGGAGGAAATGTGTACATTTGGTTAGCCACGGGGTTTCTTAGAATTTAACTCGTGCTTTGCAGGTTGCTGGAGTTGGGCTAAGTTGCAAAATCTCGAATCTTTGTACCTCGATGATAACAACTTCAACAATAGTATAATTCTATGTATAACTGCAATTACTGAACTTAAAATGCTGTCTCTTTCTGATTTGTCTTACTTAGAGGCATCGTTTCCTTTAGAAGGTATGTTCATTTACTCTCCAGAATTCTTATATGAGGCTTTCTTTAACCATTTTATGCATTTCTATCTGTTCTGATTTTTTTTTTCCTTCTCTGCTTCTTTTTGTTTTGGGTCTTGTTTAGCGCATAGAAATAAATGAATATCTAAGCTTAGAATAACTGAGCATTGTTTATTTGTATGCTATTTCAATTAATTGTAGAGCACCTTATTTTTGTCGCTTTTACCTTCACAAATATGGGAGATTCAAAGTTGTTTACATTTTAATCAGTTAATTTATTTCTTAAATTTGTGACAGATATTGTTGCATGTACCAAAATTATAAAGTATATATAATATCAGAAAAGATAAAAATGTCCAATATATCTATAGGCATGCATGATAGTTGTTGGCGCCCAATTTGCCCATTCTAAGAGTTCTTGGATCATCTTGTTGCTGCAGAATTCAATCGTCTGGAAAAATTGGAGCTTCTTGACTTAAGCTTTACTCAATTTTCTGGTTCATTGTCCTTTAAAGGTGCGTTTGTCCAATTTGAGATAAAGTTATACATGATCAGAGTATTAGCTGTCATTTTCTCTTTCTATATCGAGTTTATGAGGATAGGATGGAACTATCTAACTTTTTCCTATATCAAAACTAGCATGTAAAACTAATTTGACGTTAAAGTATGTCCAAATTCCTATACAAAAATAAATTTCTGAAATCAATAAAATATGCTCAAATTTCTAGATTAGCTGTATCTTCTCCATTCGTTTTAGTAGGTTTAATTCACTTTTAGTCGAAAAGTGAAACATGAATAAAATGTGGAAGATCTATGTGTGAATTTAAAAGGATTAGGTATGTAAATTTTTCTTTTCATTTTTGACTCAGAAATCCATTCATTGACTACCAGAAAAAATTCAACACCTTTCGGGTTAAATACTAAAACATCCCTGTGGTTTGTTGAATGCACAACTTAAATCTTTAAGTGAATCACTAGTCACTTAACTTTTTTAGAATATCATTTAGTGTACTACACTAGTTTTTTTGCCAATTGATCAACTAAACTCTTAATCAATTAAGTCATTCCATCTATTTTTCTCTATTAAAAGAGAAAAATTTATCGCATGTCAATTGCATGTTACATTTACTGGAACATACTCATCACTTCATATATGAAAATAGTACAATGAACTAAGCAAGCATTTAGAAAAGTTTAGTGACTTCTGATGTATTTTATAGAAAACTTTTTGTAAACTAAAGAAAAAATACAAAAATTATATTGGCAAAAAGTTATGACACCAATGGTCCTTGCAATCCTAAATCTTTTGAGTAAATAATAGAAGTACTTTAGTTAGAAAATAAGTTGATTTATAAAAAAAAAATAGAGAAAGAAAAACTAAAAAAAAATTATGGCAAAATTTTAAATATTTGATTGGCCAAAAAGTAAAGAAGAATCTAAAGTGGAATTTCTGACAAAAGAAATTCAGCATTTCCATTTCGAAAAAGAAATATTTTCTTGTTATTCTTCTCTACTTATTCATCAACATAATATTTCCTTAAATATTTTTGCCTGACTTTTTTTTGTAGCTTTTCTTTCTTTTTGTTATAAATCATTCTTGCCGAAACAGTTCTTTTTTTTTTTAAGAATTAAAAATGCAAGGACTAATTTTCTTTCAAAAAAGGTGCATCAATGTTCAAAAATTCTTCTAGTTTGCTTTTGAATGATATAGGGTTTGAAATCCTCTCAATTCTCCCTACTTGTTTAAATTACTTAGGGGTTATTTGGATATATAAATCACCAATTATTTTATATTTAAATGTATTCAGATAATTGGTAAATTATTACAAACCCAAATACCTCTTAAAAATCTAAACAATTAAAGCGATTTGTGTGGATTTCAAATCCTTCATCAAATTCCTCTCATTTAGCCCATCATGCATTTTTTTTCACCACAGATTGATAAAGATGCCCCAACTTAGTGTGTGTGGCTAACATGCCATAAATTTTGTCTATTTCACCGAGCAAATGGATAGAATGGTTGTCTATTTTGACCAAGCAAATAGATAGAATGTCCCAATGTGATCACTTTTAGCGCTTTGGCTTGTCAATTGACATGGAAAAATAGTATAGTTAAAAAAAAATTTGTTGATCTATGGTCAATTTTACCCTATATTTAAAAATACAATAGTTTAGATGACTACCTGAGTTTCTAAAAGAAAGAGGGATTCAAAGATAGTTATGTAATTTTGATATTCTCAAAACTGTAGTATTAACATAAAGTTTTGACTGAAGAATTGAAGCTGGAAAACTTGAAGGTGCTCAATCTTGGAGATACATTGTTCAGCCAACTCACAGCGATTGAGGTTTTAACTTCTCTCAAAGCGTTATCTTTGAGAGCTATTGGTACTAATGATTCCTCCATTCTTCAAGGTAACAAGTTAGGCTATGAAAGGCTCGCTTGTTTACATAATGTTGCAATTTACTTTTAAAATGTTGAGGTAGAATGGAATGAAAATTGACAACTAGCAAATCAGTTTTTTGAGTAGAAGATATGGTTTCACGGTTTGTGACATAACCTTTTGAACGTTTGTTGCAGAAATTTAATGATCTGAATTGGCTATATATTGACAAGTCACACTTAGCATCAACTGTTATTGTATGAAAAGCTCACAAGGAACTTGTTTCTGGGCAGGAATTTGCAATTTGAAGAATCTCCATGAACTTGATCTAAGTTAGAATGAATTTAATGGGTTTATTCCTATGTGCTTCAGCAACTTGACATATCTACGATTTCTTGATCTCTCTTATAATCATTTTAGTGGGAACATACCTGCAGCTCTCATTGCTCCTCTCGTACACCTTGAGTATATCTCTCTCTCTGGCAACCTTTTTGGAGGTTCTTTTTCTTTCAGTTCTTTGGCCAACCATTCGAGGCTTCAGGTGTTCAAAGTTGTATCTTTAAACAATGATTTACAAGTCGACACTGAAGATCTTGCTCTTCCCCCACCATTTCAGCTAAAGGTTCTCTATTTATCTGGTTGTAGCTTGAACAATCGGACTCAAAGAATCCCAAGTTTTCTACTCCATCAGAAAGAGATATATGTTCTTGATCTTTCTTCCAATAAGTTAGTTGGGGAGATTCCCACTTGGTTGCTGGAAAATAACACACAATTACAATCTCTTAATCTGCAGGATAACTCTTTTATGGGTTCGTTTCTAGTGGATAGCTCTCCAAAAGTAAATCTAATCCTGTTAGACATCTCAAACAATGAGGTTAGTGGTCAGGTTCCTCACCATATGGGTTCAACTTTTCCATCTCTGAGGATCTTGAATTTGTCAAGAAATTGCTTTGAAGGCAATATCCCCCAATCACTAGGAAACTTGATAGAAATATGGTCAATAGATTTGTCTTACAACAGGCTGTCAGGGGAAGTGCCAGAAGAAATTGCAACTGGATGCTCCTCGCTTATGAACCTAGTATTGTCGTATAACAATCTGGATGGAAATTTCCCTTCTACGTTCATGAACATTTCAAACCTATACATCCTTTATTTGGATAGTAACTATTTCACTGGGCGTATATCTTATGCATTATCTCCTAGTGTAAGTGTACGTTATCTGGACTTTTCATATAATGGTTTTCAGGGCAGAATTCCTAGTTTGATTGGAAATTGTTCATCATTGATATCTCTTGATATGTCAGCCAACTTACTAGAAGGGAGCTTACCAGATGCTATATGCAAACTTTCACAACTTGAATTTTTAGACCTCTCCAAAAATCAGTTGATCGGACCTTTACCAGCTTGCTCCCAACTTACATCATTCAAGTTCCTCCACCTGCATCACAACATGATCTCAGGTTCCATCTTAACGATGCTGTCTGGAAGCTTCAATTTGAGGACACTTGATTTGAGGAATAACAAGCTATCTGGTGGTATACCACGCTTTACTGATAAACTTAAAAAGCTCAGGGTTCTTCTGCTGGGGGGGAATGAACTGCAAGGTCATATTCCATTGCACTTATGTCAGCTGCAGAAACTAACAATTATGGATCTTTCTCAGAATAAATTTTCTGGGCCACTACCTTCATGCTTTAGTAACATCTCTTTTGGCAGAGGGCAGTTTGACACAGATGCCTTTCTTACCAATGGGGAGCTTGTTACAAAGGGAAACTCAATGGGATACAATAAATCTAATTCCTTGGGTATTGAGGAGTACACGTTTGACATTTTGTTAGATTCTCCCAAGGAAGAAGAAGTGGATTTCACAACAAAAAGTAGAGCAGAACGCTATGCAGGGAATATATTAAATTTCATGTCTGGACTTGATTTGTCATGTAACCAATTGATTGGAACGATTCCTCCTGAATTTGGTGATCTCAGACATATCCGGGCATTAAATTTATTCCACAACTACTTGCAAGGATCTATTCCCTCAAGACTTTCCATGTTGAACCAAATAGAGAGCTTGGATCTTTCTTACAACAATTTGAGTGGTGAAATACCTTCAGACCTAGCATCATTGACTACCTTGTCCATCTTCAATGTGTCATTCAATAACTTGTTTGGCAGGGTGCCTGATACATGGCAGTTTGCAAACTTCGACGAAAGTAATTATAGAGGAAATCCAGGTCTCTGTGGACCATTGCTCAAGAGAAGTTGTAACCCCTTTGCTCCACACCCTGAAAATGTTGGTGATCAAGACATAGAAGTTGATGGTGCAATTGATGTCGCAGCATTCACCTGGAGCTTTTTTGCTTCATATATGGTGATCGTGATTTCATTAGTGGTAATTCTTTGTGTTAGCCCTTATTATAGAAGAGCATGGTCTTTTTATATTGATTATTGGATTCTATCGAGATTCTACGAGTATTACAGGTCTCGCTCCTCAGAGAAAAAACAAACATGGAAAGTGTTTAATTGGAACATGAGAAGGAGATGAATTGGTCCTAGTTACTCTATTGGGATTCTCGAATTTGGAAAAAGATCCAATGTATTAGCAAGTATTGAAAGAGGAACTTCATGAGATGAAATTCTCATGTGCAACCCTGTAGAGTGACAATAAATTGGATTTTTCCACTATCATCCCAAAAAAAATACTGGTTCAGACTTTTAAGTACTTTGAAGTGAAGTCCCATATGAATCTATGTTGTTGATTCAGAATAAACGAATGAACATTACGTTAATTTCATCAGTATAAATATGCTTCCATTGCTTTGTATCTGTATGTGATTCCAAAATTAGTTGCCGTCACGAGTAAATAAAGATTGAACATATTAGCGCTACAGAACACAATTAGTTGCTTTTGCTGCCAAAATGGGTTCATCTCCATAACCAGAAACAATAATAAACTGAATTATTGGTCAGACAAAATAAATTTAACATGTTGATTATGTGTGTTAGGATCCAAGTGCGAAATAAATAACTATTGAGATATCAAGCACACAATAATTTAATGGCAAATAAACCACAAGCATGAAAAATAACCTACACACAATATTTAACGTGGTTCTACTCCACCATTGAGCCTACGTCTATGGAGAAAAATTCGTTCTTTATTATGAGAGGAAAATTCTATACAAGAATATAATTTGAATGCAAACCCAACTTTTGTATATCATCTCTCATCTCTCAAGAATCCTCTCTCACCACCCATGTATAAGACTACATGTCGCCTCTTGTGTACCTTGTGTGTCTCTTTGTAATATGTCAACCCACCTATTTATAGCAAACATTATTTGGCTAAAAATCCAAATAATAATAGGATACCAATTCTAATTTTTAGATTTGTACAAAATAGGAAATAACTTTTAATCCTAAACAAAATAGAAAATTCCTTGGTTACTGCTTCAAATAACTAAAATCAATTAGAAAACGAGTTACTTTCACACAAAACAAGAAATCTACTTAAAAGAAATTAAACCAATTTTCTAACAAATCTCCACCTTGGCGAAAATTTTTTTTAGCAACCATTTGCCTTCAACTACCAAATAATATGGTACCAAAACTACTCACCCAAATCAATGCAGTTCTGACACCAAATTGATTCAATCGGCAAATGACCATGTGTAGTTATCACGAGTCCAACCTCCAGTTGACTCGTGAGAAGGTGTCTCAATTCACCATCTCCCTTTGCAGGATTTCTTCTCACCACCACTTGCAATCTGAGATCCCTTTTTGTGAGCTCTAACCCTAATCATTGAGGCAACCAAATGGTATAATCACCATACTTTTTCCTATCCTCAGGACTATCTTGTCACGTGTGGTTTCCAAAACTCCACCTAAAACAAAAAAACTCATAATTGTCAGAGTCTTCTGGCACATGAAAATTAGATTTCTTTATTTCTTTGGGACACGCACCACACCACCCAAGTAACATAACCAAAATCTAAAATCCACCGGAATGAAATATCAACCATTAGAGGTGTGAGAAATTTTCCACTGATTCACATCCAAAATCAACATTAGACTCTACCTTTTCCTTAATCCTTGAATCATCTATTTAGATTCACCGTCAAGTATCTCCATGCTTTTCGACTTCCCATGCTTTACCATCAATGCTTTTTGCCAAACCATTGAAACAAGGATACCACTCATTAAATTGTTCAATTAGTAATAACTACTAATCCATTTAATCTCAATAGTTAACTAGGATCCAATCTTGAATAATCAAACTCTTGATCCAACTATTCTATTTGTTGGGATCCAAGTCCTTGTGAGCAGTCTAGTCTCACAATCAAACTCTGAAACCACTGTTAGAATCCAAGCGCGGAATAAACAACTATTAAGATATCAAGTACACAACAATTTAATGGCAAACAAGCCACAAGCATGAAAAATAATCGACACACAATATTTAACGTGGTTCGACTCCACCATTGAGTCTACGTCCACGGAGAGAAACCCGTTCTTTATTATGAGAGGAAAATCCTATACAAGAATACAATTTGAACCTAACCACTCATGTATAAGACTACATGTCGCCTCTTATGTACCCTTATGTGTCTCTTTATATCATGCCAACTCACCTATTTATAACGAACATTATTTAGCTAAAAATTCAAATAATAACAGAATATCAATTTTAATTCCTAAACTTGTACAGAATAGGAAATAACTTCTAATCCTAAACAAAATAGGAAATTCCTTGGCTACTATTTCAAGTAACTAAATCAATTAGAAAACTAGTTACTTCCACACAAAATAAGAAACCTGCCTAAAAGAAATTAAACCAATTTCCTAACAATGTGTTTGTTAGTTTCAGCATTCTTTTCTATTTGTGGAAATTAATTTTTATTTCCCAATAGAGTTAATCTTCGGGAAGGGAGTGGAGCAATGACAATGAAAAACTTAGAACGAGTTGAGACCATCAACAATATATTTTGCACTGCAGGCTTTTTTTTCTCATATTTGCGGTTTAATTTTCTTTATTTTCACAATTACTATTTCATTTCTGAATAGCCATAATTTGAAGGGCATAACAAAAGGTCTTGTAATATCTATTAGGAAGGGCATTGTTATTTTTTTTCTTCACCCTTTAGGTACTTACAAACTGGTGCTGATACAATGGACAAAAAGTAATATTAGGAAGGGCATAACAAAAGGTCTTGAAATATCTATTAGGAAGGGCATTGTTATTTTTTTTCTTCACCCTTTAGGTACTTACAAACTGGTGCTAATACAATGGTAGACAAACAATGTGTAAATACCTACATTGTTGAGCAACTTGAAAATGATGTAACTGAAGGCACTCAAGCTACTCAAAGTGCAACCCAACAAGTAGGATCTTGTACTGAGCTATTTGAAATATCTATTAATGAAGCCTCATCTTAAATTGGTGCTGATATAATGGTAGACAAACAATGTGTAAGTACCTAATATTACAAGACCTTTTGTTATGCCTTTTCTCACCACAGTAGTTACACTTAATCACTTGCCCAACTCTACTCATCTTATTCCTTTTCTCCTTTTTTTTTTTGTTGTATTTCATCTTCACCTTTTTTCCTCAGTTTTTTGGGACTCATATGTTGGTGGAAGTGGAGGTGTAACATAAGTATGTGTCCAATCATGCTCCCCATTGACAGGCAAAATGCAATTAGCATAGCACTTGAGATAGGCTTTAACACTATAACATTGATCAATAAAGTCCATAGGGTCTTTACGAGCTATCCAGATTGCTGAAATTGCATGGCAGCAAGGAATCCCAGTAAGATCCCATTTCCTACAAGTGCACATTCTCTCTTTAATATTAACACAATATGTTTCTCCATAAGGGCAGCCAACCTCATAATCATCATCATTTGATTTAATTGGAAAACACTGAGTAGCCATATCCATGTTTTTCTTCACCCTTTTCATGATTCTTGGGCAAAATTTTAATTTTTCCACTTGTTCTTAGCCATATCTCTGTTTTGCTGCAATCTGGTCATTACATAGTGCTTCAAAGATTCCATCAGCCCTACAATATGCTCCTCTCTAGCATTTAGAATCTTACTGTTAAATGACTCACATATGTTGTTTAGCAACATGTCACACTTGGAAAAGGTGCTAAAGTGTGATCTAGTCCACTCAATAGGCTGCTTTGTATCCAACCATTTTGCAGCCTCAATGTCAATTTCTACCAATTCCCTCATTTTTGTACTGAATTTTGCAAGCGTGGTTGCCTTAGCAGCTTTCCATAGTGCACGTCTCAAAGTTGTTCCTTTAAATCCAGCAACTGAAAAATTACTGTGTAGATGTTTAACACAAAATCAGTGGTCACAATTTGGAAACACTGCCTCACATGCTTGTATGATGCCTTTTTGTTTGTCACTCATTATAGTCCATTCATAGTTTTTCTCAATTTGAAGATCCTCTCTCAACAATGTTAGAAACCACATCCACGAATCTTTGGTTTCCCCCTCAGTTGAAGCATAAGCAATGGAATAAAATCCATTGTTAGGATCAACTCCCACAGCAGTTAGCAATACCCCTCCTGCTGGACCCTTTAAGAATGTCCCATCCAAGCCAAAAATAGGTCTACAAACAGCTAAGAACCCCTGTTTAACCCCAGCAAAACACATATACAATCTTTGAAACTTTTGTTGCCTTGTGACAACATCACAATACCCATCTACTACTTTCATAATCACAGTAGTTCCAGGGTTACTCCTCTTTATTTCATTGATATAATCAGGCAGTTTCTTATAGTGATCAGTCTCATCCCGTTGCACAATTTTTGTGGCAGCTCTTTTTGCTCTATAGCCTTGATACTTACTAAAAAGGCATTTATTTTCCTTCCTTACCTTATTCGTAAAGCTCTTAAGATCTAGCCTAGGATTTTCTCTAACTGTCTCACAGTAATTTTTTGTCACCCAACTTGAGCTTACACTTTCATTATGGTAAGAGAACCCACGCTTGTGTTTCCTTTGAAAGGTTCTAACCTGCACACTACCTGCCCCACTCAACTTTCTAGCATAGATGTACCAATCACAACCTTCTCTAGGACACTTTGCCATCACTTTAACTTTGTCATGTTTAACAAACTTAAATGGCCTTCCTCTCTTTATATTCCAGGTTCTAACAGCTTCCTTAAACTCCTTGAAGTTGCTAAAATATTGTTCAAGTTTAATTTTAGGATTATGCATGTCCTTGGGATTAACCGTAGGTGGTTTCCTACCTTGTTCATCACCACTTCCATGTAGACTTTCAAAATCAGATTCAGAATCTGGTGCAGCATCTACATCGAAATTATCAACGTCATTCTCAGAATCACTTCCTATATCCCCCTGAGCTGCAGCAACATTTTGCCTTTAGCAATCATTTTTCTTTCCTCTTCTACTTGATTCTCAATTCCCAACCATTCTACATTCTGATCTACATTATCTTCATAATCATCATCATCCCCTTCCTCCATCTCATAGTCCGAGTCCTTACCAGAAAATTCTCCTGAGCTAGCATCTGAATTGCAACCATTGTTATCTTCAGATTCATCGTTTACATCTCCCTATAAAACATAATCATCATCATAATCGTCCTCCTCATAATCAGACCCCATTTGTAGCCTTAAAAGTTCAGCAAAAGAAACCTCAATGTATAAGTCAACACGCCTACCATAATCTAGATATTCTGCACAATAACCATATAATTCCTTATCATGCCAAAGCCTGCGAAATCCATACTCTTCTATAAGAATATGGCACCTTTTATCGCCGTAAGCCCTTGCTTCATTTTCAAGCATTCTATCCATCTCAAACAAACTAATCCCAGTCACTTCTACATAATCAAACACACATATTTCCCCTCCCTCATAATGTGCATCATGCCCATTTATACATTTTCCCCAAATATAGCATCTCATGGTGATTTCAATGCTACCATTTCCTATATTTCAAGAAGAATAGTTCAAAGAATTAAACGAGAGCACACATCACTATTCTATAGGTAAGAAAATTAAGACATATTGGTCAACATTCAAATTAATACTAAGGGTTTAATACTCCAACAAAAACCACTTATAAAATGACGATTACTATGCAAAAAAAAATGATATTTTAGCTACAGCTAACAAATATTGAAACATAAAAATAGGATACACAGTAGATTATACTCTGGATTAAAACTATTTTTGTGATTTCTAGGAGAATCCATTGTTCATTTGCTTTAACACTCCCAAACATTAGTTTTTTCAGATGATAAATGATATTTTGTTGCTTCTAATTTCACTCTAAACTCAATATTGATGTGAAAATTACAAGAGGATAGCCGTATTTACTTACCGTAATTTGGGGGTGGCTCATTATTCAATTCTTTGCTTCTGGTAGACATATCGGTTCATGATTGTTTGAAGATCCCCAGAATCTACCAAGTTTTTTTGAATTTTTGCAGCCAACTTGAATTTTTGTTGAAGCTCGATTCTCAGGTTTTATGTTGGAGAGCGAAGAAAGAGAGACGAAACACAGATGCTATGTGATGTTTCCTTCTTCTTTAATTTTTTAAATGACTCATGTGATGTTATTGAGTCCTTAGATTTTTTTTTATTACATTATTAGTCCTTAAACTTAATACTTAGTATTAGAATGACATTTGACATTTTTTTGACATTTTTTATACAACAGTGGCCGGGCATGTGACTATCACATGACTTTTTCCGGTAGCAATTTGGGAAAAAATCTTCAAGGGAACTAAATGTGCACAAAATTTGAAAGTTCGGGTACCAGATTTGTTTTCGTCCAAAATTTGTGGACTAAAGCCGCTCATGTGTCAAAATTTGGGTACCAAAACTGGATTTTTCTCTTTTAAAAATCTTTAGAGATTCATAACCTTTTGGTAGATAGTGTCAAATATTCATTTATACACAATGAGTAATCGATGAAGTCACAATAGCATGTCTTCACAATAAAAAGGTTTCAAAGCATGAAATCATCTTCAATGGAAAGTCACCCACCATTTTTTTTTTTTTTTTTTTGGTGAGAAGAAGATTATTTTGGCAAAAAGCTCTCCGAATGAATCATTATTTTCTCGACTTAATAAACTGGCCTCATGCTTGACTTGAGCTCAAGCAACAAAATTAAATACTTAAGCCAGTCTTGAGTCCAAAGACATTTGACTTGATGGTTGGTCAAGCCCCACAACGTATGTAACATTTATTCATGGACTGGAAAGGAGAACTTACTCTTTTAGACTTCAAAGCTTCCTTAAACTTAAAGACGTTGAATGCTCATCTTCGCCATCCTTCATGGACTGGAGACAAAGGTGATGGAGCAAACAGTGGCTGTTACACATGGGAACGGGTGAGTGTGGTGATGTTACAGGGAGAGTTCAGTGTTGTTGAGCTCCAACTTTAACCTGATACTAAATTATGATCGAGTCCAGAATCGTCAGAGCTGGTATTTTGATATTAGTAAGTCTTATATACAGTGACAGTGTACATACTATTACGATTGAATATATGATATATGAGCAAATTTTAGATTTTAAATTTAAATTTTGAACATGTGTCATATATTTAACGATAATAGTGTATATATTAACAGTGTATATAAGATTAGTCCTTTTAATATTAGCAGTTTTTCAACTCTGAAGGACCTGCAAGTCTGGACTTGAGTGAGAATAGCTTCCAAATTAAGCAAAGTGTAAGGTAAAATGCATGCGCTATCATCTTTCTTCAATTAACTTCATTCTTAGCTCGCTCTCTCTCTCTCTCTCTCCTTCTAGTGGAGGTTCTTTTAATTTTCTTAATTCTTCCTCCATCTACAACTTGAATGTAGAGATCCTTAGATCTATTCCCTTAGCATGACTGTTTTACTGGAATCTAGGATCCAACCATCAACTTATTTCACTTTGATGGTCTTATTGACTAAAAGCTTGATGAATATCTTAGAAGATGATAAACTAATCGTTTCCTCAAACGGCACCAAACTATCAATGCAAAAAGATGGCTCAACTATCAAGACTGTGTAGTAACTAACTGGTGAAACGTCCAATGTGACCTGTAAAAGATGGACTGGGCTTTGTCTCCTGGAAAGCTACGAAGCTTAATTAGGTCGTTATCTCGAGGCCTTAATGGGCCTTGAGGTTTTGCTGAAACGGAGCTCTGTTTCTCTTTGGCTCGAATCTTGATTTCTAATTAGAGCCAGCCAATAGGAATTCATTTTGGGTCAAGATATTACATTGGGCTGGAGCCTTAGCATCTATAGGTAATTCACTGAGTGAATACCTTTTTAATCTAACAAGATTTGAAATTAGGGATACAAATGAATTGAATCGAATCGAATTTTAGTTTAATTGAACCGAGTCGAGTCTCGATTTAATTTTATCAAATTCGAGTTCGACGAGCTCTCAATGTAAAATTCGAACTCGAACTCAGACATTGGAATTTTCATATTATGGTGTATTAAACAACTAATAATTTTTGTTATAAGTACATACCAACGAATTAAAGTATTTCCAAAAAGGATGAAATTCCAAACTATAATAGAGCTATCAGAAAAAAGGTTATTCACTGTTAATACATCTTATCTTTAAAAAAAAAAAAATCGGCCTAAGTTTTCGTCTTATCATGATATATCGAATTAATGATTGTGTACACCTTGGATATTTTTATATGAATATACTTCAACACGATACAACAAGAATTGAAGTTTATATAAGTAGCAGTGTAACTTCTCTTGCGTATGTCCGCAGAAGCGATTAAAGTGTTGTAAAGGATCACTACTTCCTATAACCAAAATTACTAATGTAAAACAAGAGGCCGACCACAAAGTTATGCAACCCATAGGAAGTTCTTGGGGCTTTGAATGGATGCGAGGGAAGAAAATTTCTGTCGATACAGTGCTGGATTCTTGCATAATAAATATTATGCTATTGGCAAAATACGAAAAGTGTCCTCAATCTAGTCAGTGATTTGACTCAACTTTTTCTTTTTTAATTTTTTATTTTTTTATAATAGAGAAAATGTGAGATTTAAGAAACAGATAGATTGAAAGCGGGAATGAGGACAATTTAACCTTGTTGTCAAATGATAATGGCGATCATACATAATAATGCAAGCAGTGAGATTACAAGGTAGAGAACTTGTTCAAGCTGTGTCGAAATCAGCAATTCTATATCAACAAATTACCTTTTATTTTCTTTTTGGTTTTCATGGTGGTGTATATGTTTCTCTTTTTCCTGAGTTACTGCTTCTAGATCTCTCATCTCCAAAATCAGTTTGAAGTTCAATTCTAGGGTTTTGCTTCAGTGAGGCATTGTGTTCGTTGGCTCACAATCGACGCGTCAATTGAAGATAAATCAGAACAAACTCAAAATTCATTCCGACCATTTCCGATTAAAACATTCAATTCTCACGTTGTTGCAGTTGTTCAATGCTCGGATTGTTACGATTACTACTTGCGTATGTTTGTTTGGTTTATTTCCCTTGAATTTTTGAAGATTGGGAAAATTACAGCTTTTAGTATATTAGTTGTAAATAAATAAATGTTACTTCTCGCCACCACCTAGGAGTTCTTCATCTAGCAACTAAGGTTGAAACTCTACAATCAAGTTACAATTTTTTTTTTTCTAATTTCTGTTCCCAATTTGCATTGGTTGATTCAAACTCGTGCTAATTAATGATTATTCCTATTATATCTACAACCATTATAATCACAATTATTGTCTCCGGTTGGTTAAGTAATGTCATCAATATTTTTGTAAACTAAAACTTAATTGATGAATTTAGTTCTAAGGGAAATAGAATCAAAGTGTGGTTTGAGCAATCAAAGACATGCATGGATTAAGTATTTCGCTTGTTACAATTTAACTAGATTATAACTACTAAGCTGACTTTCTTATTAATTGGTTCTCAAAGGATTTCATGAGTAAGAACTCAGGAGAATACCAAAGAAGAGGAAGCTAAAGATCAAGAATGAATTACACCAAAAATGAATGAATCTAATGATCACTTAGTATCTCCTCTCAATTATAGAGGTCACTGATCGACCTTCACTGGCAGAACACTGAGCAGCAATTAAATGGAAGAACTTGGTTGTAGAGTGCAGAACGAAAACAGAAAATAATCACAAAGAAAAACCAGAAAAAAGTTGCATATGTTTGTAATCAGTAATCACCGGGGAAGCTTAATTTCTTCGCAGCAGCAAACTACTATTTCTGCATTCTGCAAAAGATATAATAGGAATAAAAACAAAAAATGAAAAAAAAAATGTAAAGGTAGTCAAACAAAAAATGGCCAAAAACTGAGAGGAAGATGAGATAATGAGAAGGTTAATTAAGAGGAAAGCTTTGTTTAGTCAATACTAGGAATATTTAATATTTTTGCAGCACACAGCATTATTAGTGTCATCATAGGAGGCATAAAAGCCACGGAAGCAAAACTTACAGCAAATTCCTCCGATTGTGGAGGCTTTGTCCCACATCGGGGTTCAGGGGGGTTTGGGTTAAGTTTATTAGTTCCCTGTGAGACCTCAAGAGATACCGGCTTTTGGGGTTCTCACGGAATTCCGAGTTAGTAAAAATGCCGAAAAGTCCTTTGGGCTTTTAGTCAGAAAAAGACAGCCTCTGGGGGGGGTCGGGTTCCAGTTGGGCCTAGTAGCAGGCTTCCTCCGATTGTGGAGGCTTTGTCCCACATCGGGGTTCAGGGGGGTTTGGGGTAGGTTTATTAGTTCCCTGTGAGACCTCAAGAGATACCGGCTTTTGGGGTTCTCATGGGATTCAGGGTTAGTAAAAATGCCGAAAAGTCCTTTTGGGCTTTTAGTCAGAAAAAAAAAAACTTACAGCAAATTTATTCTTTTATGTATCACAGACTAATAGCAAACTCTTGAATATATGGTACTAGTTTAGTTTGGAGAACCAGGAGCTGCTTGCCTATTCTTCTTCAAGATTGGTTCTCCAAAGCTAACGTGATCTGGGTTCAAGATAATTGCTGAATTTAATCGGTGCAGCAACGGTACATGATGAAACTCTCCATGGGACGGCCGCATTCAGCACAAACCACCTTCTCAGGTATGTGCCCAGTACTTTCGGGCAATATGAGGTGGTTGCAGTGATGAGGGGTCTGGAGCTCACGAAGTTGCTCGTCCAGAGCAATCACAAAGCCGTCGGGGTAAACAACTTTGTCCTTCCACTCATCAAACTTGCTCAAGCACTGGTAAACTTCTTCGTCTATTCCTTTAGCCATCTCATGCCGGCCTCTGGCAATGAAAGCCCATCCCTCGCCATCTTGGTCATAGCAAATTATTTTCCCAACATGCTGTATTAAATCACTCTTCACGAACATGCCGTGTTGACCCCAGGACTTAAGCATGATCTCCAGCCTCATCCAGAAAATT